AGCAAGGCAAGAGACCCTGCACACTTCACAAGCGAAAGCAAAATAGCTCCATATACAGAAATAGTATTAAAATTTATAATGAAATCAATAATATTATTTACGCCCTAACGAGCCTGAATAAATTCTGGGCACATCAAAGACAGATCACCAACATTTCCACCTTGAGCGAAGAGCAATCTGCCAACTCCAATATGCTCCAACTTTATTGTGCATTTACTCCAATAAAAAGGTCAATTCCTCCTTTACCAGCCATGTTGGCATCCAAACTATGTCATAAAAATTAATACACTTACTACTTTATTTGAAAAATAACCAAAGCAAAATTTCTAATATATTGCAATTTTGCAAGGAGAATACTTACAACAATAATCAAAGCCTGGAAAGCTAGCGAAGAAAAGCGAAAACCTACTAGGTTTCTCAGTTCTTGTATTGATTTCTTGCCTTCATCAGTGCGTTAATATCGCCAAAGTGTTACAAACGCAAAAAGGTTGATAAACAAGTGTAAGTACCCTAGTAGGGTCGTCTAATTCTGCCCAACAGCCAAACACATAAATATCTTCATTATTTCAAAAAATATTCTATATGGGTTGCAGCCAATAATTTTAAGAGAAATCATATTAAAATTCACACACACGCGCACACACACCATCGTGATAATTAATACGCAATAAAATTGGATTCAAAGTATATGTAGATAATCAAAATTTCTAGCAACACAAAGAAATAAACATTGATATGGTCAGAGAGCTTATTAAGAACAGTTCTTCCATCTATGCCCAACAATGACACAAGTATCCACAAGAAAAATGCATAAGTTAAAATATGTGAGATACTGCTTACCAGGCAAAATGCTTTGCATAGTATCCTCACATTGTCAACATGCTTATTCCAGCGAAAAGGCACCCATTTCCTGAAAAGCCCAACAAACGACCATTCGCCCAAAAACTTCCGCCCTGTTAAAGTGACAATGAAAGAAAAAATATCCGTTTAGCATCAGGCATTAGTAAATCAATATTATCATGAAGAAGTTTTTTTCAAAAAAAAAAAAAACGAACCTCATGCTCTGACGTCGTTCCCCATCTCAAAAGTCATCGATACCTCCCCTCTATTTCCTATTAAGACAATTGACAGGAACAAATAAATTACAGGTCAAAAATATGATATCCTAAAAATGTATATCATGAACATATCTTTAAGAGCATACGCGGACTAAAACCTTTCCGCACGAAACTTTTGTATTAAATTTTATATTTAATATTTTCACATAAAACACAATTGTCGATTATGTGTGAAGGCTTATTGCTAGGGAAATAAAATATAACAATGACAGTAGGCCACCACCCAAACAAGTAATATCACGAAATATAATGCTAGAACAAGTAAGACACCAGGAATAAACAATAAGCGTAGAAAATTTTAAAATTATTAACAACAGGTGTTTGTGACTGCTTCTTGTACTTACAACATTCAGAAGGATCCAGCTTTATAACATCAGAGGGGGAGGGGCGGAGGGGGGGGGGGATCCTCAGGGTTTCGCCATCCTGGAGCTTGAGGAAAATTGCTCTAGTATTTCAGTTCTTTCACTAAGAGTTTACTAAACTCTGAGCTAGCTAGGATGCTGAAAATTCTAATATTTATAAATTGAAACAAAAGAGGGTTGCCAAGTCAATACCTTAATGACAAATGACTAGACATATATTAGCGGTACTCGACAATATATTGCCAAAATGATTAGACAAAACAGGGGCATTTTCAAATATTGCCCAAACTGTATACACAAATTTCAAAAGAAAAAGAATAAAACTGCCATATCCATAAGCCATGGAGACCGTTTATCAAATTCTCTTACAGAAGTCAGAAGTAATATTACTAGAATAAATAAACCAATTGATGTTTCGAATTGTCTCTGCAATCCGAAGGCTCTTTAAGGGCGAAGGAATACTCAATAATACTTCAACCGAGGAAAAGAAATATATTGATAAGACACCAAGATGATCTCACTACATTATAGCCAATTGATTGAGAAATAACACCATTCCGAGGTATTGATTGAAAATAAACATCAAATAACCTTATCTATTGACTTACCTGCTTATATAAACATTGTTCAATGACCACTACACCTCTCTATTCCCTCCCCATCACATACTATACCAACTCTTTAATAGGTAATAAAAATATTTTATCCTCCTCTCATTCAACCAATCAGCTCGCAGCACGGTCGCTCGGCGCACTCATCGCCATTCAGCTAGTCGCGCCGGTCAACGCGTGCACGTCAACACAACCTCGTGTGCAGACCGGTTCAACGTGCCACGTCAATCAACTCGTCGGCGGCGCCGGTCAACGCGTGCACGTCAATCAGCCTGCGCGCATCGATCAGGTGGCACGCGTATATTTAACCCAATGGCGTGTTCAAGCGATCGGTCTTGGGCGGCAGAGCTACAGTCAGACAAATTGCGGTCAAAACACGCGAAAAGAGAAAAAATCTCCGAAGAAAGGAACATAAAAAGAATGAGTCGGCATAAACTGCGTGAGCGGCAGACGGAATAAACCGACCCGCGCCAAGCGCTGGGAGGCGCGGATCAAGTCTGACCTGCACAAGTGTAGGTCGGATCAATCCGACCTACACAAGTGCAGGTCGATGGGCTGATCCGACTACGCACAAGTTGCAGGTCGGATTTCATACGACCTGGACAAGTGGCAGGTCGGATTTGTTCTGACACTGCACAAGCGGCAGGTTCGGATCGGTCCGACGCCGCCGCAAGCGCGGGTCGGATTGGTCCGACGGCCGCGCAAGCGCAAGTAACGGATCCCGAATACGTTTCGACGGTTTGATGCTGTTTTCGCAGGTTTTATCTGTTCGCAGGGGTTTCTAACTAATTTGATATGCATCACCCAAACGGTGGTAGGCTGTTGTTAACTGAAGATAGAGCCAAATCAGCTTGTTCTCACGCAAATAACTCACTCCGAAGCCCTATAAATACAAGCTAGGTGCGCTCTTTGAATGGTGGGCGATTGATTATCAAGACGAGGAGGTGCTGCGGATTGTGGAGTCAAACAGAATAAGGCACGAATTTCAGCTGGAGGGTTGACAGATCTTGGCAGAGTTTCTTCGCATAAAGACAGGAGAGTTCGAGAGATCCGACGCTTCCGTTCCGCGTCCGTCCCTTGAGATTAGGCTTGGTCTTAATCTCGAGAAGAGCCCCTCGATTTCGCTTGTCGATTTCAGCGGCTTCAAAATCAAATACTTCCTCGCGCAAGGCGAAAGCTCTGGCAAATTTTTCATGACAACGGCGGATGCCAGATCTAAGGGCGGTCCATCGAGTAAACCCCGCAACAGGCCAACGGCAAGATCTCCACGCAAGCAGAAGAACGCGGATAACGATCTCTGCGTTTGTTTTTGACGATGAGTTGTTAAAACTTTTGTTTCGATTGTGTAAAGTCTTATAAAAAGGACAATCCTTTTTTGTTGTTCATTGTAACGATTGAAGTTGTTAATGAATACCGCAATGAATACATCAATTTTCGACGGCAAACAAACTGGCGACCACAGTGGGAAGCCAACTAGCTTCGCTAGGCCGGAGCTGTCGTGTCGCAACTTGGATGGCCTGGGCATCCGCGGTTGAAGAGTGGCTCGATATACGGAGTTCGAACCAATTGAGTTCGAGGAAATCTGTCGTCCTCCTCCTCCCAGATCTCCTCGCTCTGCCGCAAGGCCGAAGGAAGATCAACGGCCCGACACGTTGTTACGCGTAACTGAACCTTGGCAAAACGTCCGCTTGGGCCGGCCTCCAAATCGAGTCGCGGGATCTGGCAGATCTGAAACTCGTGTCCCTCCTCAATCAAGGAGTTGAGTACAGAAGGCGCGCCCATCTTTATCGAAGAGAGCTCGTCAAAGACAGCGCCAAACGCTGTGCGGCGTCAACTGTTCGCATAGACTTGGAGTCAATTGCGGGATCCGTTACGAGGCGGATCTGAAAAGTAGGCAACGGCCTAAGCTACAGCAGTTCCAACAGGGAGCAGATGTCCTCTTCCCTCCAACCAATTAGCAAATGATTGGATCCAAATCAGAAAAGTCGCGTTCAACTGCTGGAGAGCGGAATCAAAAGCGTGCGCGCGTTGCGCGCTACGGGCGAATTCTTGTGGCAAAAAGCAAAAAGATGGCAGAAGAAGGACATAGCTAAGAAAGCAACCAAGAACTGCAATCAAACTTGGAGGCCATAATCCAAAAACGGCAGCCGAAAAGATTCAAGAAATCGCGGGTCATGTTGAATCGACCGCCGGGCGCGCGGGTCACTTCAAATGCGACCCGCCAATTTGCGGTCATTCGCAATGCCGACCCGTCAAATTTGCGAGGTCACTCGCAATCCGACCGCCAAAACGATCAGGTCCGTCCAATAAATCGACCCCCGCCAAAGTACGGGCAGTCATCTCCAATCCGACCCTGCGCAGTTGCAGGTCCACTCCAATCGCGCCCGCCAAACCAGGTCGCTGCTCAATCCGACGCCCGCCAAATACGCAGGTCACTCCAAATCCGACCCGCCATTTGTAGGTCACGTTGATCCGTACCTTCAAAGTCGCAGGTCACTGATCTGACCTTACAATGCAGGTCACTTGGATCGGACCTTCCACTTTGCAGGTGTACTGGATTTCCCTCTTTGACTCGCCCATTCATTGCTTCGAGTTTCGTGCGGGCTCTCGTAGACAATTTTAAACGCCTACAATATACACACAGGTCGAAGAAGATCCAAAACATCTAGACCGTAAAAGATGATTTCGTAATGGACTCGATAAACAATAAATTCTGTGATAATATATACTATGTCCAGTTTGATGACCCAAGAGACAGACTCGATTAACAATACATTCTGGGATAATGACCTTAATGCACGTTTATACATTCTTCCAATGTGCAAAACTAGTAAATGTAACATGCATATCGATTGAACAACTCATAGAAAATAAAAGATGCTCCATTTAATCTAAAAATGACCTCGAGAAAAAAGAGAGATAGATTCAGTAGACACGAATATAATATTTTATTGACATACTGGCTCCCTTGCGCAGACCATCTTGAGAATTCTCAAAAGCTGCTTTTGTAATGAACCTCAATGCCGAGGTCATAGCACCTGATGCAGCTAAACCAGCAAGGAAAGACTGCACGTTCACAAGGAAAGCAAATAGATCATATACAGAAATAGCATTAGAAAATTAAAAGAAATCAATAATACTTATTACGCTAACTGACCTGAATAAATTCTGGGCACATCAAAGACAGATCACCAACCATTCCACCTTGAGCAAGAGCATCTGCAACTCCAAATGCTCCACTTATTGTGCATACTCCAATAAAAGGTCCAATTCCTCCTTTACCAGATGTTGCCGCATCCAACTATGTCATAAAAATTATACACTTACTACTTATGAAAAAAAACCAAAGAAAAATTTTAATATATTGAATTTTGAAGGAAATACTTACAACAATAATCAAAGCTGAAGCTAGGAAGAAAAGCGAAAACCCTACTAGGTTTCGAGTTCTTGTATTGAGTCTTGCTTCATAGTGCGTTAATATCGCAAGTGTTACAAACGCAAAAGGTTGATAAACAAGTGTAAGTACCCTAGTAGGGTGGTAATTCTGCAACAGCAAACACATAAATATTTCATTATTAAAAAAATATTCTATATGGTTGCAGCCAATAATTTTAAAGAGAAATCGATATAAAATTCACACACACGCGCACACACACCCATGTGATAATTAAATACGCAATAAAATTGTGATTCAAAGTATATGTAAGATAATCAAAATTTCTAGCAACAAAGAAATAAACATGATATGGTCAGAGAGCTTATAAGAACAGTCTTCCATCTATGCAACAATGACACAAGTATCCACCAAGAAAAATCATAGTTAAAATATGTAGATATGCTTACCAGGAAAATGTTTGCATAGTAATCCTCAATTGTCAACATGCTATTCCATGCGAAAAGGCACCCATTTCCTAAAAGCCAACAAACGACCATCGCAAAAAACTTCCCCTGTTAATTGAAATGAAGAAAAAATATCCGTTAGATCAGGCATTAGTTAATCAATATTATCATGAAGAAGTTTTTTTTCAAAAAAAAAAAAAAGAACCTCATGTCTGACGTCTTTCCCCATCTCAAAAGTCATGATACCTCCCCTTATATTCCTATTAAGGCAATTGACAGGAACAAATAAATATTACAGGTCAAAATATGATATCCTAAATTATATCATGAACATTATCTTAAGAGCAAAAGGGACTAAAACCTTCCGCACGAACTTTTGTATATAAACTTTATATTTAATATTTCACAAAACACAATTGTCATTATGGTGAATGCTTATTGCTAGGGAAGATAAAATATAACAATGACAGGCACACCCAAACAAGTAATATCACGAAATTATAATGCTAGACAAGTAAGACACCAGGAATAAACATAAGGAGAAAATTTTAAAATTATAACAAGGTGTTTGTAGACTCTCTTGTACTTACAACATTCAGAAGGATCCAGTTTATAACATCAGAGGGGGAGGGGGGAGGGGGGGGGGGATCCTCAGGGTTTCGCCATCCTGGAGCTTGAGGAAAATTGCTCTAGTATTTCAGTTTCTTTCACTAGAGTTTCTAAACTCTGAGCTACTAGGATGCTGAAAATTTATATTATAAATGAAACAAAAGGTTGCAAGTCAATACCTTAAGACCAAATGACTAGACAAATTAGCGTACTCCACAAATATTGCAAAATGATTAGACAAACAGGGGCATTTTCAAATATTGCAACTTATACACAAATTTCAAAAGAAAAGAATAAAACTGCCAATCCATAGCATGAGACCGTTTATCAATTCTTTACAGAAGTCAGAAGTAATATACTAGAATAAATAAACCAATGAGTTTTTCGAATTGTCTCGCAATCTGAAGGCTCTTTAAGGCGAAGGAATACTCAATAATACTTCAACGAGAAAGAAATTATTGATAAGACACAAATGATCTCACTAACTTGATAGCAAATGATAGAAATAACACATGCCAGTATGATGAAAATAAACATCAAAAACCTCATCTATTGACTTACCTGCTATATAAACATGTTCAATGACCATACACCTTCTAATTCCCTTACAAGCTAAAACAAACAGAAACTGTTAGGAATTTTAATGCCTAAATCCCTAATTGCAACAGAAACGCAGAATAGAAAAGTACACCAAGATTTAACGAGGTTCGGCAACTGCCTACGTCCTCGGGAGCCACACAGATAATTCCTTATTAATTAAACAAGAAATTACAATTTAGGAGCGTATCTCAAAACTGAGATTTCTCAGATAAACACTGTAGCTACAGTGTTAATAATCAAAGGGTATGAACCCCTTTCAATTCTCACTTGAGAATAAATACCCCACAATAAAAAAACCCTCTTTAATTTTCTCTCTCTCTCTTCTTAAATCCCCTCAACTACTGTTGAAGATTGGGATTAAAATCGCTGCTGCGATTTGGGGTTCTGCTATTTGGGTTTTCCGCCGCCGCCAGGGAGAGAAACGAAAGAGGGAGAAGAAGCTTTAGCCGCGCCGAAGAAACCCTAGGCTGGAAGGGGGTTTTATAGGGAGAGTTGATGGGCTGGCGACAGCCTGTCGCCAGCGACCTCTTGGACGCCAATGTCGAGGCCGAACGCAGAGGTCGAACGAAGAACGCTGAGGTCGACGAACGCAGAGATGAAGGGGGGTCGAACGCACAGCAAAGGGGGAGGTTCGAACGCAGAGTTCGAGGTCTGCGTTCGCCCGAAGTTTGCGTCTGATCTCCTCAACTCACCTGTTCGAAGTCGCCTGGAGATCGCCAAATCGAGCTCGCCTGCTCGAAAGCTTGCCGGAGCTCTTCGTCGCCGGAGGTGAGTTTGATCTACACCTATTTCAACAATCTCCCACTTGGAGATCAAACCGCCGTCAATCAGGCTATCTCATCAAGCTCCTCTCCTGTGTGGCTCCGCCCTCATCATCTATGTATGAAGGCCAACTGAAGTTGCGCACAACTCCAGTTTCTGAACTGTCACCGTCTTTGTTAACATGTCTGCTGGATTCTTACTTCCTGGAATCTTTTCCAGTTTCAACACGTCATCTTCCAACAGGGATCTGATGAAGTGGTACCGAAGCGCAATATGCTTCGTTCTAGAATGGAATGCTGAATTCTTCGCCAAGTGTATCGCACTCTGGCTATCACTGTGCAAAACATTCTTCTCCTGTTTGAATCCCAGCTCTGTCAACAAACCCTGAAGCCATATCATCTCTTTACTGGCTTCAGTCACTGCAACGTACTCAGCTTCTGTAGTGGATAGGGTAACGATCTTCTGTACCTGTGACATCCAACTAACAGCTGTAGTTCCAACGGTGAATACATAGCCGGTGGTGCTTCTTCGGTGATCAACTTCACCGCCGAAGTCTGCATCTACGTACCCTTGCACTTCTACCTCTCCCTTACCAAAGTGCAAACACTTCTGTGTGGTGCCTCGTAGATATCTCAGAATCCACTTGACCGCTTCCCAATGAGCTTTTCCTGGATTCGACATAAACCGGCTGACCACTCCCACTGCATGGCCAATGTCTGGTCTCGTACAGACCATTGCGTACATCAAACTTCCGATAGCCGAGGCGTAAGGAACCTTAGCCATACTCTCTTTCTCTTCTTCTGACTGAGGAGACTGATCCTTCGACAGACGAAAATGGCTAGCCAAGGGTGTGCTCACAGGCTTGGCGTCCGCTCCTCATCGGAAATGAGGTTTGATCTTCACCCTCATTCTAACAATCTCCCACTTGGAGATCAAACCGCCGTCAATCAGGCTATCTCATCAAGCTCCTCTCCTGTGTGGCTCCGCCCTCATCATCTATGCATGAAGGCCAACTGAAGTTGCGCACAACTCCAGTTTCTGAACTGTCACCGTCTTTGTTAACATGTCTGCTGGATTCTTACTTCCTGGAATCTTTTCCAGTTTCAACACGTCATCTTCCAACAGGGATCTGATGAAGTGGTACCGAAGCGCAATATGCTTCGTTCTAGAATGAAATGCTGAATTTTTCGCCAAGTGTATCGCACTCTGGCTATCACTGTGCAAAACATTCTTCTCCTGTTTGAATCCCAGCTCTGTCAACAAACCTTGAAGCCATATCATCTCTTTACTGGCTTCAGTCACTGCAACATACTCAGCTTCTGTAGTGGATAGGGTAACGATCTTCTGTACCTGTGACATCCAACTAACAGCTGTAGTTCCAACGGTGAATACATAGCCGGTGGTGCTTCTTCGGTGATCAACTTCGCCGCCGAAGTCTGCATCTACGTACCCTTGCACTTCTACCTCTCCCTTACCAAAGTGCAAACACTTCTGTGTGGTGCCTCGTAGATATCTCAGAATCCACTTGACCGCTTCCCAATGAGCTTTTCCTGGATTCGACATAAACCGGCTGACCACTCCCACTGTATGGCCAATGTCTGGTCTCGTACAGACCATAGCGTACATCAAGCTTCCGATAGCTGAGGCGTAAGGTACCTGAGCCATACTCTCTTTCTCTTCTTCTGACTGAGGAGACTGATCCTTCGATAAGCGAAAATGACTGGCCAAGGGTGTGCTCACAGGCTTGGCGTCGCCCATGTTGAATCTCTGCAAAACACGGTTGATGTACTCCGTCTGAGATAACTGCAAGAGACCTCTCTTCTTATCTCTCGTGATTTGCATTCCAAGGATCTTCTTCGCTGGACCCAAGTCCTTCATGTCAAACTCCTTTGACAGCTGCTGCTTCAAACTCTTGATATCCTCCATATCTGCTCCTGCAACCAACATATCATCAACATACAGCAGTAGGATGATATAGCTGGACTGATATCTTTTGAAGTAGCAACAGTGGTCGGCGTTGCACTTCTGGAAACCTTCCTTGTGCATGAAGCCGTCAAACTTCTTGTACCACTGTCTTGGGGCTTGTTTCAGGCCATACAAGCTCTTCTTGAGTCTGCACACCAGGTTCTTTTTCTTCTTTTCTTCTGAGAAACCTTCTGGCTGGTGCATGTATATCTCCTCTTCTAGATCTCCGTGAAGAAACGCCGTCTTCACGTCTAACTGCTCGAGATGAAGATCTTCAATTGCTACAATACTCATCACGGTCCTGATAGTATTTAGCTTCACCACGGGAGCGAAAATATCGGTGTAGTCAATTCCTTCCTTCTGCTGGAAACCTTTGACAACTAGCCGGGCTTTATATCTTCTGGAACCATCCTGCTCCTCTTTCACCCGGTACACCCATTTGTTGTGGAGTGCCTTCTTACCCGTGGGCAACTCAGCTAGTTCCCACGTCTGGTTTGATATGAGAGACTTCATCTCATCTTTCATTGCAAGCTCCCACTTGCTCGCATCTCCACACTGACAAGCTTCATCAAAGCTTTCAGGCTCCCCACCATCTGTCAACAACAGATAGTTCATGTATCTCCTGTTGGGTACAGGAGGACGAGAAGATCTTCTTAATATCGGAGCTGGTGCGTCGGGCTCCTGCGCACCATCTTGTCCAACAGGCTCTTCTTGCTGAGGACCCTCTGCATTGGGTTCTTCCGAGAGGTTACTCGGGACATCATCTGCATCTACAAATATTGACTCGCTCTCTGAGTCATCTGTCTTGTGCATGTCCTTGTACATCACCTTCTCGTTGAATATCACATCTCTGCTCCGGATCACCTTCTTGTTTTCGTTGTCCCAAATGCGGTAGCCGAACTCATCTTCACCATAGCCGATGAAAGTGCATTTCTTTGACTTGGGATCAAGCTTATTCCTGCCTTGATCACTAATATGCACGTAAGCTACACAACCGAAAACTTTTAGATGTGAGAGTTTTACCTCCTTTCCGCACCATACCTCCTCTGGTATTCTGTGCTCCAATGGAACCGATGGACCTCGGTTGATCAAGTAAGCTGCTGTGTTGACCGCTTCTGCCCAGAACTGCTTCGGTAGGCCTGATTGTACTCGAATGCTTCTGGCTCTCTCTGTCAACGTTCGGTTCATCCGCTCAGCTACACCATTTTGCTGAGGCGTGCCGGGCACGGTTCTCTCCATTCTGATCCCGTGCTCATAGCAGAACTTCTTGAATCCGGTGTCTTCATACTCACCGCCATTGTCGGTCCTGAGCTTCTTTATTCTCAGACCGGTCTCATTCTCGACCATAGCTTTCCATCTCCTGAAAGCTTCAAATACTTCTGACTTATGCTTCAGAAAGTAGACCCACACTTTCCGAGAGTGATCATCGATAAAAGTCACGAAGTAGTGTTTCCCACCAATCGACGCAGTGGTGGTTGGTCCCCAAACATCTGAGTGAACGGGCTCTAGCTTCTGCTTCCTGGGGGTTCTGCCACTTGTCTGAAAGCTGACTCTCTTCTGCTTTCCAAGTATACATTCTTCACACATATCCATCTCCACTGACTGCAGTCCTGGGAGTTTTCCCTTTGTGTGCATGATTTTCATCCCCTTTTCACTCATATGACCGAGTCTCTGGTGCCACAGCTTTGAAGTCTCATTGCTTGCTGCAACTGAGATCGAACAACGTGCACCTGCTGTCATATATAGGGTACCAGTCTTCCTGCCTCGGGCAATCGTCATTGTGCCCTTTGAGATCTTCCAATCATCTCCATGGAAGGTTGTGGTGTATCCTTCGCCAGCCAACTGGCCTACGGATATTAAATTCTTTCTCAGGTCGGGAATATGCCTGACATCCTTCAGCTCCCATACTGACCCGTTCAACTTAATTTTCACCACGCCTTTGCCCACTATAGCACACGGTTGATCATCACCAAGATATACGTATCCAAGTTTTCCGGGGGTATACTTCTCGAAGAATTCTTTCTGAGAAGTAGCGTGGAACGACGCTCCTGAATCTAACACCCAAGATTCCTCCTTGCTCTCCAAAGAGCATATCAATGCGTCGTCTCCTCCTGAAGTGGAGGTGACATTCACCTCTGCCTTCGCTTCCTTCTCCTTCTGTGCGCTCTTGCACTGATTCTTGTAATGCCCGGTCTTTCCACAATTCCAACACTCGATAGCCTTCGAGCTGTTGCTTGGATTCCTTGATTTGGACCTCCTGTCCTTTGATCTACCTCTGTAGTTTGATTTTCCTCGTCCGTTTCCTCTGGTTGAATTTCTACCTCTTGACTCTGTATGCAATACTGAAGAGGTTGTAGCTTCACCCGTTTCTCTCCGTCGGATCTCCTCACTGAGAACCAAATCACGAACGTCGTCGAACTTCAACTTACTGTTTCCCGACGAGCTACTCACAGCTGTGACTGTAGCGTTCCAACTCTCTGGTAGGGAAGACAACAATATCAACGCCCGAACTTCTTCATCAAACTCAATCTCAACTGAACTCAATTGGGTTGTAACCGTATTAAGTTCATTGAGGTGTTGTGCTACTGACGCGCCTTCCGCCATTTTCAGATTGAATAACCGCCGCATCAAATGAACTTTGTTCGCGGCTGATGGCTTCTCATACATATTTGAGAGAGCTGCCATAAGACCCGCCGTGGTCTTCTCCTTCGCTATGTTGAACGCAACATTGTGAGTCAACGTCAATCTGATAACTCCGAGGGCTTGTCTATCTAGAAGGTTCCACTCATCTGCCTTCATGGAATCTGGCTTCTTCCCCGATAGTGGTTGATACAGATTTTTCTGATACAGATAATCCTCTATCTGCATTTTCCAGAATCCGAAATCTGTTCCATCAAATTTCTCAAGTCTCATTTTTGCCTCATCTGTGGCCATGGCTCCCACTTGAATCTGACTTGTTCTAGATCGTTTCACGCTCTGATACCAGTTGTTGGGAATTTAACGCCTAAACCCCTAATGCAACGGAAACGCAGTATAGAAAAGTACACCAAGATTTAACGAGGTTCGGCAACTGCCTACGTCCTCGGGAGCCACACAGATAATTTCTTATTAATTAAACAAGAAATTACAATTTAGGAGCGTATCTCAAAACTGAGATTTCTCAGATAAACACTGTAGCTACAGTGTTAATAATCAAAGGGTATGAACCCTTTCAATTCTCACTTGAGAATAAATACCCCACAATAAAAAACCCTCTTTAATTTTCTCTCTCTCTCTTCTTAAATCCCCTCAACTACTGTTGAAGATTGGGATTAAAATCGCTGCTGCGATTTGGGGTTCTGCTATTTGGGTTTTCCGCCGCCGCCAGGGAGAGAAACGAAAGAGGGAGAAGAAGCTTCAGCCGCGCCGAAGAAACCCTAGGCTGGAAGGGGGTTTTATAGGGAGAGTTGATGGGCTGGCGACAGCCTGTCGCCAGCGACCTCTTGGACGCCAATGTCGAGGCCGAACGCAGAGGTCGAACGAAGAACGCTGAGGTCGACGAACGCAGAGATGAAGGGGGGTCGAACGCACAGCAAAGGGGGAGGTTCGAACGCAGAGTTCGAGGTCTGCGTTCGCCCGAAGTTTGCGTCTGATCTCCTCAACTCACCTGTTCGAAGTCGCCTGGAGATCGCCAAATCGAGCTCGCCTGCTCGAAAGCTTGCCGGAGCTCTTCGTCGCCGGAGGTGAGTTTGATCTACACCTATTTCAACAGAAACTGCTATCAACTAAAACCAGCCTATATAGCTGTACAAAAGAGAAACATGAAGATTTCCCCAACAAAAGAAAGGCTTCTCATGACAGAGTAACATTCATAGCGAGAGCTGAAGCCCAAAGTTAGGCTAAATACAATAATAATCACAACAATAAAGAGGGGCTGAAATAAAAGTGCAAAAACGATAAGGAATGTTGATTCCAATGCACAATCAAAGTCAAAGCTTATCTCCTCCCACCATATGGACCATTGCTAATTAAGTAATATTTCTAACAATAAAGTTATGAAACATTGTATTATTCCAGAGAACTGACCTTATTAGACAGAGGGATGCTCACAGAGAAGCACACAACCAAAAGATATTTTTAGGCAAATATGAGACTCTCTTTATGGAAAACCGCTACTAAAAGAATGAACCAAAACGAAAGAACCCAATCCAGGGAATATAAATGCAACAAAACAAAGAGGCAGAAACCGGAGAAGGGTGGAAATGGAAACTTAAAGAGAATAAATTTTTTTGCTCAAACATTCACTAACTCAAGCAATTACATATACTAAAAGATGCTAACAGGCAGAGCTAACCAAAAAAAAAAAAAAAATCAACTGGAAAGGGACTTGATACAAAATAGAAAATAGATGGGTTGGCAATGAGTTTTTCAATGTGAACAAATTAAAATGAAAGGAGAACTTAATTTGTAATACTCAATGAACTTGAAGGTCTGAACATCTATAGAAGAATTTTCATTAGAAACCAACATGTGGCTGACAGTGTTTATACACAAGTCAGATGATGCGTACATCCAAGATTCTGTTCTCGCTCATCATATAACAAATATTTAATTTCTTGTTGTATACTCCTATAGCTTGATTGGAGTGGTGACTGGGCAACCAGTGAATTTTATAATACGTAAAGTCGAAGGAATCATAAAATAATTTCCTTCCCATTGACTAAGCATTCCGTTTTCACCAAGGAAAACCTCTCCACAATAATAAACTCAACTCAGAGATATACTCAAGCCATAGTCGCAATTTATCCAAGACAAATGGAAACAAAAGAAAGTACGCAAAGATGCAAAATAGAAAGGAAGAACAGGCGCACTTTTAATGGCAGGGATTTCTCCAATTAGAAACCAACTCCTTCCCAACTAAAAACAAGTAGAAAACAAAAAAAATCATTGTAAATAACACAGAAAAAAATTTACACATCCTTTTTATCAACAAGAGTATCACCCATTTTTTTTTTTTGAGAAATAAGGACTGCAAACACTTCCCTCACAGAATGTAAAAAAAGAAAAGAAAAAAAGATGTATTTTTGCTGAAATAAGATTTCAACACATTTTCCGAATGGTGGGTATGACTTCAATCACAGAACTATATCATATTTCATCTCTTCTTCCACTAAAAGATCTAAAATCATTGCAGAAGATTTTTCTAAAGTATATATACAACTGAAACCAATATCTTCAGCTGTATAAATAGGACACAATCAGATTTTCTCTACAAAGGAAACACTTCTTATAACAGACTAGTACATAGACGGAAACCCAAAGATCAAACTCCTGTATAAATACAATCACCACAACCATAAATGAAAAAGAAATCAGCTAAATTTTTTTATGGAAAATGCATTTTTTTTCACAGACCAGAGCTTGTAGGCAGAAGGATGCTCACAGAGAATACCACAACCAAAAAATATTGGAGACAAAGATACGGCTCTTTTAACATCAAAGAGATACTTCAAAAATGAGCCAAAACAAAAGACTCCAATTCAGACATTAAACAAAGAGGCAGGTACAAAAGAAGAGTGAAAATGGAAAATGACAGGGAGCAAATTTTGTTTTCTTTAAATCATTCACTAATTTCAGCTGAATTTTATCTCCTACAGCTGAAAAGAAGCAAATGTGCCAGTAAAAGAGCATACTATTTTTTAAATCAGAGGTCATTTTTGAGGAGGCTCAGATAACCAAAGTAATCAAATAGATAGAGACATCCAACAGAATGAATAAGGAATTGGTTGAAAGGAATAGGTAAATATGAGGATTTTTTTTTTGGGTTGGTGGGGGGGGGGTTAAATCCCATGACAGCTAAAGTTGACCATCTAATAGAACAATCGAAGCAACCTATGCAAGGCTATTAATGATTGCACATTAGTCACATGATGCTAATATTCGAAATTATGTCCATACTGATAATACAATCAGTATTTAATTTCTTTCTTCGCTTTGCCTATAATAGGGTCGATTAGTGCTAGGACATTTGCGAAGCCAAATTCTTACCAATGAAACTATCCAAATTAACAATCTTTTATGCAGCTATAAAATATGTTATGGACAAGATAAAAACAGTACCCAATATACAAATCTAAGGCCATTAATGATTGCATATTAGTCGCATGATGCTAAGATCCAAAATTCTGCCCTCGCTGATTATATGCTAAGATCCAAAATTCTATCCTCCATGATCAAATAGTAAATATTTATTATAGGGCTGACTAGTGAGTGTAGGGCATTACATAACAGCTCTGGTGAATGCAGAGAGAAACATAATGTGCACACAATAGAACAATTGAAGGGCAAAGATCAGACCAATCAGAAACCTAAGTCAACTTTCATCTCGTTCACCCACCAAAAAAAGGGATAGGAAAAAAAAAGCAACAAATACTTGGTAAACAAGGTAAAATAAGATTACTCCAACTAATTTTTTTCCTCCATTTGGAGAAGCTTCTCAAAATCTCTCATTTATTGTAAAAAGACATTAGACCACTTCTCTCAGTCACAACACAAGCGGAAAAAAAAACGTGAAAAGATGCAATTTGTTTGCTGAAAAAGCAGAAAAGCACACTTTTTGGGAGGTGGGTCCGAATTCAATCACAGAAACACCTCATTTTTCATCTCTTTCTCCAGTAATTTGTTTGCACTGAAGTAACTCTGAAGTAGCAGAAGTAGAGGAAATAGAGGCTATTTTTGCTACTTCCATATAAAAAATATTGTTTTGCTTCTCCGTAAAAGCTAACTTCACGGCACTTCCTTAAAAGCTGATGTGTCATCTAGTTGGCATCTCTATTTCCTTAAAATTTTTCCGGCCTTCTAATGCTGTGAATACCGGCCGGAAGTGATTTTAGTGTGGGCAGCTCCACAGAAAAAAATGATTCCCAAACAACTCTCTCCTACCTCAACAACAGCTATATATCTCTTCCTCAAAAAGTATAGTTATGAAGGTTTCTCCAACGCATTCTTCCCCAATTACTTGTATCCTCACAACTGATTAGCTCCCCGCGCTGAAAAGGGTTTCTTCAAGGTGGCAAGTAATTCTAAGTTCCTAGCCGACTTCCCAGCCAAAAAACAGCCATTCTTTCTTCATCTTCTCCTCTTGGCTTCAACACAAGGTATGCTAAAGGCTTAAATTTTGATATTTTGTTGTAATTAAATTACATCTTTGCACAAAGAGAAAGAAATAATTGGTGCGATGTATTATTCGTTTGCTGTTTTTCTTTAGTTTCACAAGCAATTTTACTGTGATACTATTCTCCTTAATCGCCCCCCTCATGTTATTCCTCACCAAAAAACAAGTTTTGGTTAATTTTACGTAGTGTTGTTGATTTTCATTTATTTTTTTTGGTGAAGGACTAAATGCTTGACTCCTGGGCTTCGTAATTGGATTATGCCGGCTCTTTCAAAAAATGTACTATCAACGTGATTCAAAATTAGCAATGATTCCAATGTAATAGGACGCAATGTTAACTCTTGCTATCATCCGAATAAGACGCATACATCCGAATACTGCTTGTGTAATCAGACCACTCGTGACTCGAGAGATGTTTTTTGCAATGACAATGGTGTCTGCGTTTTTGTCTGACTTAAGATGAGAAAAGGACTTACACAAATGAATTTCAGTTTCGAGTGCCAGTAACTCATATTCAAGAACTCATAGGATATTATTAGCAGAGCAAATACATCTGCCCTTAAGCCTAGCTTTTGTTGTTCAGAAACTACATGTATAGTTTGCGCCGTACCCTTGCTAATGTGCACTCCGAAATAGGTTTGGGCCATCGAATATTTCTTCTTCTGCTCAAATGGAAGCTTCAATAAATTTGGATACAAAAAATCTTCAGTTTTTGAAGCACCTCTGTGTGCCATATTACATGGATTGATTAGCTACAATGTTGAATTGACATATCAAGACTTATTTGATAAGCTTTTAGCAATGGGTTTTTGTCTTGTGTAAAAGTCTGTCTGTTGCTCAGCTACTATTTTGAGTTATGGAAGAGGCAAGCGTCGAATTGGAAGCATAAAACGCTAGGACTAATCACATATCTGTCCCCTGTAACTAATAGTGACACAATTAACCTCCTTTGTATTATCACTTTCCAAAAACATTAGTTATCTTTTTGTTATTTGTATCTGGCCATTTGGCGATGTCATGGCAAGTTTCAGACAGGATCATTTTGAAATTTGAGGTAGTATACCGAGATATCCTCGGCTATTCTCTATAGTTTACATGGTGTGGAACGTATAAGCACTTATATAATTACAGCAAACATATAGCAAGGAGATAACTTCATTAGGATTAGAGAGATTAGCAAGAGTAACAAAGTGGTCAAAGTGCCTCGCATGTACTGCAGGACTATACCACACGTCTCATATACCTGGAAGCAAATCCGCAATTCTCTACAAAGCATATCGGGCTTGCTGAGCTCGCCTTCATCAGAGTTCGGAAAGCAAATGCATACGCATTGCCTTTCACATAAAAACTCCCAACATACTGACATTTGTAACAGGCATCCATTTTCTCATTTGCATTTCACTTTTAAAAGCATTTCCAACCAGTAAGACAAACAGCGGCTTAATATAGGTCATTTAGCTAATTATTAAGCAAATAGTAAGAAGAATCAATTATTAAGCGAGGCAAAGTCTTCTCTTGCTTCCAAAAGCCAAATCGGTGAACCTTCTCAAATAGGCTTTTAACTTGACTACAAAGAGTTCTATGCCAGTGTAACTAGGATGTGACAGAATCATATTTATTTTGTGTCGATGTTGGAGAAATGAAATGGCTGGCAAATTTTATATAATAACCATTGCGCTGACTTTTCTTGATTTTTATAAGCATTGTTTTATTTGTTTTATGTTAGAAATATGCGAACCTTCAAAGAATAAGAGATGCCTAGCACTTAAGTTCTTTGCTGGCATATGTGTCACTGTATAGTTGTGTGCTTACTTTATGTTGTTTGAGAATAAAAGAGAAGTAACTTCTAGGGACCACACCGAGTTGAAGAGATCATTGAGAAATGCCTTATAGTCTACGCGTTTATTCTATGGCGGCAGAACCCATTTGCATTTATGGACTACTTAAGAATGGATAGAGGTCCATTTTTTTAACCTTGTTCGCCATGTTACGCGAAAGTCTAGACTTCTTAAATAGTACCATATAGTGTTTCCCTCTATCGAGCGAGCAAGTTGCTATGTTTTTTACACATAGTAGGGCATTAATGAAGAAAATATGGGTTGTGGCTATAAACTTTTCGTGACGTTCAGTGCCCGAAACTATTAGTAGGTACTTCAAATGCAGTCCTCAGTGCAATATAAAACTAAGAGCAGATACTAATGAAGCAAGCGAGGTGGCTGAGGTATCCGATGAGATTCGTGTAGATCAACTTGCGTATCGTTGTTAGATCAACTGGTACCCTTGGTTTGAGGTAAAGTGGATTATGTTTCAATATTTATTATATATACTTCTTAAGTAAATATGTAATATAAAATGTCGAATTTATATGTTGTAGTATGTGTTAAATGCGTCAGAACTGTATTAGGTATGATTGATGGAACACACATTAGCTGCGTCTGTCCCTGATAATATAAGTGTTGCTCGATTTCATGTCGCCCCAAGATGGTCCCACACAAAATCGGCTTGGCAGTTTTTAGCACCTAATAAGCTATTTTTGTTATGTCATGGCCTGCATTGGGAAGGGTCGGCACTAATGGACTTTACAGTTTAAGGGATGCATTGTCTATATGCCTGCTCCAAAGGGAATTGCGTTGAAAAGGTAATGAAGATTGAAAGCTAAACTAATAAAGCTATTTTCTATTAGTTTACAAAGATTTGTTATAATCTTGGTATATGTTAAATATTGCTAGATAAATATTATCTCGTGTGATTCGCGATATACGACAAATGCCATGGTTTTATTGCACCTTAATCGTGGCGCTGCGCCTCCATCTTATAAGAGAGGGCAAGACGCGTAGATGAACCATTGAACATCGAGAGCTAATAATGGCTATAAAGTGTAATAAGACATTTAAAGCGCCCTGCTTTCAAAAGGCCGCTTGAGATTGTGAATTTCTCTTTGGAGAAAATTATACACATACAATGTTCGAGAACCACTTACGAACCCTCAAGATAAGTGGCAAACTTTATTTGTGAATGCAAAAAAACTTAGTGGAGCGGATGGGATGAAGAGAGGTAAGAGATTAAGCTTGATACCACGCAATATGCCTTGAGCTTAATCCGAAGGTATATTAATTTCTTAATTCTTGTCCACCAAGTTATTCAAAATTTTCTTTTGATTATTACATTTAAAATCTCTAATTTCTTATAAACAGAGACATCCAAAATACAAGCCTTATTTGAATTGTCCAATTCCAAGATATGAAGAGCTTTCGCATTATTTGTGGGGAGGATATGCTACCTGGAGAATTCAGAG